CAAAGAGTGACTTTGTAGTGAAAGGATAAAATAAGGTTGGACATCCACATCGGCGCTGGTGATTTTGTTCATAAATGAGCTCTTGCCAACATTACTATACCCACAAATCAAGATTGCCCGAGTGTTAGGGTAAATATAAGGTAAGGCAGCCTTGCCATGTGTTGTCTAATCTGCTCTAGGTAGGCCAAACTTGGGCTAATCCTCTTTATCACTGTACACGTGTCCTAAAGCTGCAACCTTGAGAGACTTGCACCTGTAAAGAGAGTCACCATACTTCAACAGCTTCACATAATCTTTAGCAATCTTACCAATAAGGTTTCTTACTGTATTTATCTGGCAAAGAGCGAGTTTATAATGATCTTTGTTGTAAAGCACGTAAAGAAGGTCCCTGTAGAACAGATGGATATCATCCAATCGAGGGAACTCATCAACAATTGTTGAGAGCTTCTCATGAAAATTCTGCTGAGTGTATTTCACTTTACGCATGTAAAACTGCCTCAGGCGAGAAATGGCATGACCTTTGTGTACAACAGTCAGTGTCTGCTATTGGGTACGAGAGAGAATAATGTCAATGAAATCCTTCCCATTTGGTACCACAGTAATCTCCTTAAAATTATACTGCACCATCTTCAAAGGCTAATCTGCCAAAACCAAATTGATATAAGTACACTAATTTTCAATTTTCATCACTAAATGGTCCGTTATTGGAAACAAGATGATAATAAGTAACAGTAAACATAATCCAAATCATTTCTTTCTATTCTTTTCTGCTTTTTCCTTCTCGAGCCATATTCAGATGTTCCATTAACAATCTATTCACAACCTACAGCAATATAAATTACTGTTCAAACGTCATACTTAGGAAATCAATCAGAAATCCCATTTTTTTTCCAATCAAAGGTTAAACTAAAGGAAAATGATTCAATGAGGACAACAAAGCCTCACAACAGTCATATAACATGGGATGCAATGCATATTGATTCGGCAGGAGCATAAAAAAGTGGATACATATAAAAGGCTCAATAATCACTTCAACGTGAGGATTTGACATCAACAAATCGTTGTCAATCATTTTCGTAAACTAAACTCAGTTACAGAATTCTGCGGAGACAAATTTGAAGCTATAAAACTAACAAGCAAATTCATTTGTATAAATAAGACATTCAAACAAAAAATTGGAGGAAAATATGAAAAAAACAAATTGAATGACTGAATTCGATCTGTTACTCACCTAGGAAAGAAAAAAAAAATTTCTGAACTCCAATATAATTTAGTCAAGATCTCGAATTCCTCGGACTCAGTTTCCGAGCGTTTCCTCAGCAGTGTCGTTCGCTAGTGAGGAGCAGAGTTAAGAAACGGTTAGGGTTTTGGGTTTTAGGTATTGTTTGGATTGGAGGTGTCGGACGGAGAGGGAGGGGAAGGATGGCAAAGGAGGGGGAGCGAGAGGGTGCTGTCTCTTTACTCTTGTTTGTGTTTCTAAAGATGCAAAGAGGGAGGGAGATGGATTCATTTGGACTTTCATCAACCACCCTCAAATCTGTAGATTTACAATCCGTTCGATTTGGGGGGTTTGGGAGGGATTTGAGTGATTGTTTAGATTAAGTTAAATGTAATTACAAAATTAACCTTAATTTTTTTATTATATCTTTTTTCATTACAAAATTAAATGATAAATTTGTAAATTTAAAATTAATTTAAATCTTTTTCTCCCTTTCCTTTTTTTTATCTTAATCATCTAAATATAAAATAATACAATCTTTCCCTTTCTTCATTTTTATTTATCCAAACAAAATTAACACAAATCATTTCTTTCTATTTTCTTTTCTTCCCTTTCTTTTCCTCCCCCTCTATGTCTTTTTATTTTCCTCCATTCCCCTCCCTTCCCTTCCCTTTACTATTTTCTATCCAAACAAGGGCAAGATGAGAATTGCACGCGTGTGGGAACGCACGTGTAAAAAAAATGTTTTAAAAAGAATTCTGCTGCCGGGATTTGAACTTGTTGATTGTTATTATTTATAATTTAAATATTTTAATACATCAATCTTTTTTTAGTAATTATAGGGAGAATAAAGTTTGAAATAAAAATTTAGAGTTAATAATGTAGTTTAAGTCATATTATTAAATTACTTAATACATATGATATCATAATTTTAAAAAAATAAAAAAAATCAATTATTATATAATATAAAATTTACTTTTTAATAGTTTGAATAACATGGCATAAGTCATGTCATTGATCTCAAATTTTAATTTCATTAATCATTATTTTTTTTTTACATAAAGCAACTAATCTAAAGATCAAAGAACGATTGACACTTATAATGTTTTTTTTGTTATTCTTTGTGCTAGTTCAATAGGTGGTTCATCAAAATAATACCAACCTATATATAACAGGCAAGAATACCCCTTATATTCTATAGTTTCAAATAAATTTACAGTTTTAGTTCAAAAAA